CAACAAATCTATCTTATTATAAAATTTCTTTCAATTATATAATTAACATATAAATATATAATAATATTCAACTAACTTCAACCATTTTCGAACACCTCATAGTATTTTCAAGGCCTTCGTGTCTATCATTTCTGTGTGATTTCTACTGTCCCTTCTCTCTAATGGGTTTCCAATATAAAAATCATTTTTTGATTGGTCCATAACCTGACCTAGGTCAATATTATGAACTCAATTCGGTTATTCCTTCCTAGTCTTAATAACCACCGGAGTCATCAATCAGATAGATTTATTTTTTTAAATAAGGATTCAAGAAACAAGTGATCTCTTTTCTCCCTACCAGTGGATCCCCAGACATATTCCTTTCCTTCCACCAACTAATTCCATTCTTATCAATTATTAATTAATCTAATATTATTTATACTATATTAAAATTAAAAATAAATTTATATATTCTAATTTGAAATAAAATATCAACATTTTCTTGAACTTTAAAAATTCAAATTGTATTCTGAAAAGAAATAAGCATTCAAAATATTGACAACATACTTTAACTAAAATTAAAATATACAGATTCAAAGCATGAATAAATTTTAAAATAATAAAATAATTTGAAGATTAATTATAAAATAATAGCAAGTATGCAATGAAGAAAAATATCGATGTGTACATAATTTTTAAAAATAAATTTACCTCCCACCCATGCTTGAGATTGCTAAACAATAATTGATCAACTACATTCAATTTAGAATCCAAAAAATAAAAAATCTAGAAAGAAAAAAGTAGCTCAAATTGTGATAGAAAATGAGTTAAAAGGAGTCATTTTTTCTATAGTTATTGGGAATGAAAGAGTTGCAAAACTTGTGAGATTCCAAAACTTTTGACATTAAAAAAATTAAATATAATTAAGACATAATTATTATATTAAGTACTTAGGTGAGTTGAGACAAAAATTTTTAGGATTAATATAATTTAGGCAACTAATGTAATTTAATAGTTATTTGAAAATTAATTGTGAATATCATACTTTATAAGTTTAAAATTTGTAGAGAAACAAAATTGTCCAACAATATTTAAAAAATATAGTCTTTAATTATACTATAAATAAATTATTAAGATGAATAATATCAACTCACCTATATTCATTATCCTTCTATATTCATTATCCATATATTAATTTTAAACATTAATATTTTGATCGGAAAAAAGATAGAAAGTTCTCTTTTTTTTTCATTTAATGTTTTAAGAATAATATTATTATAAATTAGAGTAGTTAAATTATACTAAAGAGAGAGAAATTTGATAGGAAAGGTGATACCCGTTCTATAAAAAAAATTAAAAATTTGAAATAGAGGATTAATGTTTGATGTAAACATGTGTACCGGGAGCAGTATTCGAAATGTCGATGTTAATAAAAATATCGAGGTCTCGATTTTACAGACATGTCAATGGACATGTCGATGTCGACGAATATTTCAAGAAAAATCATGAAAATTGTGGAAATTGATGAAATTTTTTTAAACTAGTAAATAAAATTTGAATTGTAGCTTAACTAGCCTATAATTAATCACCGTTAACCATTAAAGATAAGAATATGATCATTTTACTTAGGGGTGTAAATATTTCGGGTCGGGTCGGTTTCAGGAGAAAACCGAACCGACCCGAACTCCAATCGGTTCAGTTCGAGTTCATGTCGGTTCGGGTCGAGTCATTTTTGGTTTTTACATTGTTTTTTTTTTGTCCGTGCTCCTTTGGACTTCTTGGTTTGCATGATCTTGATTTGTGTGAGATATTTTTCTTTTCTTTACCTTCATTTGGGATACCTCGATTTGAGAGAGAGAAAAATTAAAACAAATTTCTTATATTTCATTTAGGATACCTCGATTCGAGAGATAAATTAAAAGTTTTTTTTTAACTAGAGAGAAATTAAAACAAATTTCTTCATCTTTCTTCCTTCTTCTTCTCTCAACGAGGGATTCCGTCGTCGATGAGGCAGAGAGGGAGGATTCCGTTGTTGGAGTCGTCGTCGTGAGGCTCCGTCGAGCCAGAGAGAGACAGAGAGAGTTTCTGCCACAGAGTACCGGCACGTGCTGCCGTTGGAGTCGCCGTCGCGTGCCGCTTTGGAGTCGCTGCCGCGTGCCGCCATTCAAGTTGTCGCCGCATGCTGGGGTTTCGTTTCATGGGCAGTGGCTGTTTGGCTCTTTTTTTTTTTTTTTTGCAAGAAGTGGCTGCTTGTCAAGAGAGAACAAGAGGAAGAAGATAAAGAAAACGGGTACGGCTTCACATTTGTCATAAATACTCGTCGGTTATTCGGGTCAAAATTGACCCGAACCAAAAAATCTTGAAACCGACCCGAACCGACCTAAAAGCTATTCGGTTCGGGTCGGATTTTCGGGTCGGTTCGGTTCGTTACACCCCTAATTTTACTTATGAAAATGTCGATGTCGATGGAAATATCCAAAATTTTTTTTTCTTTAATGAAGATTGATGGAAATTGTTTGAATAAGTAAAGTAAACTTTAATTGTAGCTTAATTTATCATACTCGTTTCTTTTTTACCATCATATCTAAATCATTTATCTATAAGTTTCATAAGTAATGGTACTTATGAAATGTCATTTCAAAATTATTTGAATTATTAAATTAAAGTTCATTTCTACTTGATTATGTTTTATTGATAATTATAATATCATTTAGTCTTTAATTATACAATTGAACAATATATGAAATACTCATATATATAAAGATTGAAGTAATTGTATAAAATTTAAATGTGTTTGAAAAATGTGTAAATTCAAATTTGAAAAGAAAAGTAGTTATGAGTTAATTAGAATTTAGAAATGTATTTAAAAACCAAGTCGATAATTATCTAATTTCCAAGTAAATTCCTATTATGAAAGACACGTAGTCAACTATCTTTGCAAAAAAAAAAAAGAAAGTAGTCAACTACTTCTAATAGAACAGAAAGTAAATCATGAATCTTATATTTGTAATAATCTTGTTAGTTATACTTATTACTAAATCTTTATATTAAAATGTGAATGTTACATTGAACAGACTAAGATTACAATAATCGAGACTGTGAGAAATTAGAAATCGTAGTAGGAAGACGATGAAAATAAAATAACCTAAATTAGAAAAAAAAAACGACATTTGAGTCGACATGTCGAATGTCTACGACATTGTGGGAAAAACAACTTTTCCCCCACATGTCGACGTTGAGCACTTCGACGTGTCGTTCGAAATTTGGAACCATGACTGGGAGTCAAAAGATAAAGTTATGTTCTAAAACTTTATAAATTCCATATATCCTTTCTTAAAATAAATTGACAATTTTTTATATTCATCCTTTCATATTCTAACGCGGATGCATTTAAATTAATAGTTTCAATCTATTTTATACTATTATTTTTATAAATTATTTAATTATTAAAATTCTAAATCTTTTTGTAATGTCCTTATTAATTATTATTAAATATAAAATAGTTTTGCTTTTACAGGAAAAAAATGTAATTTTAGAACAATTTTATAATGTAATTCTTTTACCGAGAGAGAAAATGAATGAGGAAGAGAGATAAAATTAGAATTAAATGAGAGAGAAATCAAATGAGGGGAGAATAGGAGGGAGACATACAAAAAGAGATATGGGCGGGAGTGAAATAGACAAATGTAAGAGAAGATAACTTAGGTATTATTAAAAAAGTCAATCAGCATCGTCCAAAAACGTTTTTTTCAATATCCGTACTTTTATATAGATTATTGGTATAGATATACATTTATTGGTTTTTTTTTTATTAAACAAAAGAAATATCAACATTGTTTAATCCTTTTTTGTCTTCGTTCTCTCTGAATTGTAATTTTTTTTCTATATTTTAATGTTATATTTATTTATTTTTAATAATAATACATTTTATATTTTATAGGTGAAGAATGATTAAATAATCTTTTATTTTATATTTTGAAAAAATATAAATGAGAACGAAAAAATAAGAAATTTGATTTTGTTGTTTCCAAAATTTTTTTCACAATTTAGAAAAAGTTTATTGAAGATGAAAAGAAAGAAATATGAATAATTACTAACACTCGTGGATCTCAAAAATTGAAAACTATAAATAATAATAAGCAACAATAACATTACCATATATATTTTTTTCATTTTTGCAATAACTAAAAAGAGAACCAAATTCTATATATGTGTATATATTTAAACAAAAATACACAAAAAGAAACTAGGGTAAGAATAATATAGTTTTAAACAATTAAAAACATAATATAGATTTTAAAGTGATGACAAAATAAATATAAATTAAATAAAAAATTTCAAAATTTAGACAAAAATAGATTAGATGGTGCTCAAGAAAAAAAAAATTAAGTTGTACACAATCTAGTGGTGACAAATCACCTATGACATGGGTTGGGGTGATTTTCATGCGATTTTCATAAACGATGAGTTGGTGATAACGATGGACAAATATCAAAAACATACTCAAGTAAGAGTAGCACATCTGAATAGAGAAAGGAGAAAGAGAGACAATGATGAGAAGAGAGAGAGACAAAGATGGGATTACTTGCAAGGGAGCAGGGACCATTTGTCCGATTGCAATAAAGAAAAAAGAAAAGACAAACCTAATAGATTAAAGACAACTCATGTTTCATGAGTGAGAGGGAGTAAAATCGCATGCATTGAATGTGTTTCTCTTAGCAACATGTGGCTCCTGGCTCCGGCTTGGTGGGTCGAGCCACATGACACCACTTACAACTTTACCTTAAATTGCGATTGATGACCGCGACTTTACCCATAATCGGGTCTAACGACTGTGATTTTGCCTTAAATTGCTTCCCTGAAATACTTTTCAAACTACTTTATCTCTGGCCATTTTCTAAAAAATACATTATTTTAAATCCAAGAAACTAAAAAATATTTATAGAAAAAGCAAATAGAAAAAAGGGAAAGGAATCCTAAAAATAGATAAGTTAAAATAGAACTTTTTTTTGTGGGGAAAGGAAAAGGAATGTGTCAAGAGGGAGCACGAAAGCTGGGTTGTCTTATTTCAACAACGGAATGAAAGCTTTCCATCGTCCACAGCTTTTGCGAAAGAGAAAAATGAAGATTCTAGAGAGTCTCTCACCAAACATCAAACCAAAAACAAAACCAAAACGATTTCTTCCATTTTTGCGTTTATCTCACCCCATTGATTTAATTTCTTCGTCCTCTCCTCCTCGTGGCAGCGTTCCATTGATCGGCAGAATCTGGTGCGGTGCGGTACTTTTTGTTTCTATTCTGATCCCATCGTCACTAACAATTGTCATCGGATCTTCCGCGGCTTCGTTAAAGTTTGGTCTCTCAATGAGATAAGATACAATTTGCGACGCTGCGGTTTGTGTTTGATCGATGGCGATAATTTCGATGATCGGTTCAAGGGATGGGGAACTGCTTCTGCTGCTGGTGGATGCGAAGTGAAATGGCGTCAGGATATATGGTGGAATCTCGCTCAGCCAGGTGATGATTTGATTATTAGTTTGAATTATATTGCTATTGTTTTTGTGATTTCTCCGCCGTGATCAACTCGCTAATTATAGTCTTGATTTCTCGATTACATCGGTAACTGATTGCGTTTCACCGGACAGGCCGTTTATCCTAACGGTGAAGCATTATTTGTGAAAATGTTCTAGCGAAGATCAACCTAGAATATTGATTTTCCAACTTGTTTTCTCCTCTTTCATTTTTGATCTGGATTTCCACACATTCATGTGCAGTTATGGAGCGCGCTTAGTTACGCGTTCATATGCATCGATCTTCTGTCGATGATATTATTTCTAAATATAACCATAAAAGTACAAAGAGTTGATTTCATCGAATAGAGACGTTTTTCTTTCTGAAGATCGATGCACAACCTGCAAAATTTAAGGATCATTTAGTTTGATTTGTCCGTCTTATTCTTTTGTTTTCACATGTACATTCTCAATGGACATTTCGGATTTTTTAGTATGTGTTGAAAGGTCTTATTAAAATGAACATTCTCAGTTTTATTATGATATGCTAATAACTTGAAGCGTGGTTTCTTTGCCGATATGGAGTGGAATTCAAATAACAAAATCATGGATTAGCATTATCAAGCTTTAAAAAATAAACTTTTGGAAAGACATTTATAGTATGATAGAACATTTTCTTACCTCTTAATAATAAAATCTTCAGCATGCATCTTAGTAATTTGGAACTGAAAACTCATAATTTCTTTATTTTTCACTGTAAATTTATTTTATAAGGATATACTATAGGTAAAAAGGGAATCAAAGATGTCCTTCCAAGCCTAGCATCGTTTAAGAACCCACCGAAAAACACTTCAACTGTCATGAACCTCGAACCCAAATATTTGGAGTCTTTGGATCTAGGGAGCACTTCAATTTTCATGTCCAAAAATTCCCTGACCAAATTCATCAATGACTCATGAAACAAATCTAGATCAAAAAGGTTTCCAAATGTTTTTCAAGCTCTTTTCATGAAATAATTATGGCCATTGGGCCATCACTTTCTTTTCCCATCTAAATATTCAGTTAAATCCCTAACTTTTGCTTACTCCATAGATGTTTAATAAAGCTTAAGCTACAAAATAATGAACCTTAAAAGATGCTGCTTATCAGAGATGACCCCAAGCAGGCACCCCCAACTTTAAACTTTATGGAATGTATTAATGAATAAAACTTTCATAAGTAGAATAATAAGTCTTTCATTAGAAACATTAAATTAGTGATTGCTGCATGGCTCATTTATCATAGAACCTAAACGTTATGCTACAACCATCATACTTGGTGTTACATAGTATGCACATTTGCTTCCGCAGGTTAGCAGGGTGTTAACAATTCATACAATTATGCAACTTCAATTTCTTTTATTTGCAACAACATCAACCAAAGAGTTCTTTTTGGAATTCCACTAGTTAAATGGATGCATGGCTGTTGATCATGCCCATGGCCGTGCCCATAGCTATATCCATGTTAATCTGTCCAACAGTCATTTTCCATCATTGCCTCAATCTGCAAGTAAAATAATAGCCATGATTCATTCTTTTCTACTAATATGGTAGCTAGAAAATGTAACTCTTAACTTCATCACTGGAAAATTATCCTCTGATATAAAATTTTCCCCCTATTTATAGAAAATCAGAACAATGTGCAAAATCAGTAGCATATTCTCAAACAAGTCTCCTCACTTCTATATATTCATTTTTGTGCAGATCCCAAACAAGCACAAATGTAAGAGAATTGTTGGAATGAATCAATATATTTTACAATCAGGTAAGTTTTCTGTCCATATTTACATATTATTGTTATATATATTTTTTAACTATTTGTTTCAAAATTCTTAGTACCTGATGGCACAACTTTCATGCCGACACATTTCAATTTCTTACTGCAGTTGTGATAATCAAGTATGAAAGTATATAATTGCTACTGAATAGTATATCAGTTCAATCACACTAGATTACTCGAAAAATAAAGTAGCCTGCCGTTCTTTGAATCTTTCTCTGCTCAGAGTTCCTCAAAGTCCACACACCCCTACAAGTCAAGCCTTGAGAGGCAGTTTAATACTTGAGGATCAAGCAGTTAGCTCTCCCTCTTCAAGTATCAATGACGTGATTGTCAAAGTTTCTGATACTTATGGAGAAAACAAAACAGTTTTCTTTTGTATTTCTTTAATTTGTGCAAGAGTTAAATGTAGAATGTTTATATCTGAGCCCCTGCTATCTAGGCCAAAGTACTTTATTCTAATTTAATTTTTTTCCCACTTCAATATCAGAAAAAGAAAAGAAAACACAGTAAATAACTGATAAGGAAGAGAATAGAGAGCCAACTTTCTTCTTGTCCAAGACAAATCTTTTTGCTGTTTTATAATGATAAATTAATAAGATTTTAAGCTTGTTTCAGATGGTTCAAATGTCCAACACAATGATTTTTATTGCCTTTTTGTACAACTAAGCATACTGAATACTGCCAAATTCCACCCCTTCAAAATTTGCTCATAGAGATATATATAACATTGAGGCTTACGCTTGTATGCCTCAAAGGCACGCCTCTATCATCAAAGGAGTAAGCCTCTTTTTGTTTGTCATAGGCGTAAGCCTCCAGGCAACTTATAGCTGCTTGAGGAACCTTGCCTTGTTTTTAGCACTTCGACAAGAAGGGAGTATGCAGGGTTTGGCAGTTTGAGGTATTGGTTAACTATCTTCAAATGTTCCTAACACATGTTAGATGTGTGTTGAGATATCTATACATGAATTAAATTTACCCAACCCATCAGTTTAAACTTTTGGGTTGAGTGGTGGTTTATTCATTGTCCTTAAGATAGTATGTCAAAGCGGGAGGTCGTGTGTTTGAACCCTTGCTGTTTCCTCCCCATTTGTATTGATTTCTACTTATTGGGTCTTGTGCAATTATCAAAGCCCACAAGTGAAAGGGAGTGTTGAGATATCCCTATATGAATTAAGCTTACCCAACCCATCAGCTTAAGCTTTTTGGTTGAATAATGGTTTATTCATACTTAATGTGGGAGGAAACTTTTGGAATGACTTGAACGTAAAGATCAAAGTAAGAATATAAGTCTATCAAAACATGCCACAAAACATATGACCACAAAACGATGAGAGCACAATTCATGGAGTGGGATGGGAGGATGAGGGATGTGAAATTCCATGAAGGATGGGGAACCATGTGTTCTTATGTTTGGAAAAAGAGAGCAAGATTCCTAGAGTGGGGAGGGATGTGAAATTCCATGAAGGATGGGAACTATGTGTGCTTATGTTTGGAAAAAGACGAGAGATGTGGAAGAACCTTGCCTATGAGGTGAAATTATCCTACCAGATTCATATGAATTGAAGCTAAGGGAGCGACATGGGTCGAGCTCGCTAGACCCAATCATCCAATCTGAACTGATTAGACTCGGTTGAGTTGGTCCGGACCAACTCAAGGAGACTCCTAAAGAGGAGAGGCCTGGGACAAGGTATGTGCTACAAGCATACTTTTTGCTACTCTTAATAAAGCTCTTTGCTAACCAAGCACCACACTGATGTTCAGATTTCTTGTGTGTTCAGGTGTTTGTCAGAACTTTTGTCGTTGGAATACGAATTCAAATTTCAACATCAAAGGCAATATAATATAAGATCAAATGAAGGAAATTGCTTTGGTTAGCTAGCTGAAGATTCAAACATGGTGTTGCAACAAGGAAGATATCACCAGTAATGAACGCAACGACACATAAGAAATTAACAAACCACTGATTTTTCTTAGCAAACCGCTGATTTGGCATTTCTGCAAAATATGAAGTTCCAGACAGATAAGCATAGGCGAGATGTCAATTTCAGGTGGGTGATAGGGTGTTTCTAAAACTGCAGCCCCATTAGCAGCTACTGGTATTAGGAAAGCAAAAAGTGACTTTGTCTCCCTGTTTCTGTGAACCTTATCCCATTATTAAATTAGTAGGACTAAATAGACCTCCCTCGCCTTTATGGATAAATGCTATTAAATTCATAATTGTGGAAAAGTTTGGTTTGAAAGAAACTAGAGAATTTCCAAAAATAACTTAGCCATCTTTAAAGCTTCACAATGGCATTCTCTATTGAATAGGAGGTTGTTTGCATTGAACATTTTCATATATTTGTTTGAATAGAACTAGAGACATGTTTATGTCTTTTTGCTGTTATGGAAGTGTCACCAACATTTGGTACTCCCCTTGGAGAGTCAAGATCTGGACAACGCTGGAGGTGCTTCCTAAATGCTGTTAGACTTGATTGACAGTTTCCTTTCTTCCACTTGAAGACACTGAAAGTTTTGGAAGGGGTTCTTAATAGGATCAGCAGCTTCTAATTAAGAATTAATTAAGCAAAGAATATGGAGTAAAGAGGTTATATAAAGCGAGATATTCAAACCTCTACAAATTATTTGGGAGAACTGTACTTCCCCCTCTAATTTTCATATTTCAGTATGGAAGTTATTGTTGGAAAAAATGGAGCCAAAACTGGACTTTGGTGTTGTAGCAATATCGGCTGCCACAAAAATAACAAAAATGGGGGCATGCCTGATTTCACTCGTCAGCTCCATAAGGATGATAAAGTTTCCCCAACGAGTGTCGCTTTGGCTTTGAGGCCTAGAAACAAAAGGCTACTTACTAGCTGTTCAATAGGCTGTTTTTATTTTATACATAAAGAGCTTTTCAGGCCACTGCTCTTCAACTTCGATTGTCTGCATTTGTGATTAAGATAATATGTATTTGTCTTCTCCCAACAAGTGGTATTGGACGAGGAGATGACAAATTGGTCACTTTTATTGGATCAGATTTTTCATTTTGGAAGTGTTAGGTAGATGATTATCTACCCATCATCTACAAAAAAAAAAAATTTGGACTTGTTGTTAGAGGAAAATCTGAAAATATGGGAGAAGCAAAATGGAAGAAGTTGGAAAGAAGGGTATCGGGTCAATTCGTTCTACGTTGACAAAGAATGTGTAAAGCAGCGTTGTGAAGGAGATGACTCAATGAAGCTGACTGTCCTGACCAACATTCTCTCTGCTCCAGTGGCGGCTGGTCTCCAAGGTGTAGTTTTGGCTCCACTTTTCTTAACAAAATGGACATAGCGAGGTATAGCTGAAACGGACCAAGATCCAGAGGGACACCAACATTTAGAAAGAATAGTACAATTGCTTGTTATCAAAGCCATCTAATTTTGGAGGGTATTACTATGTACAACTATCTAAGGGAGAATAAAACGACATAACGATATATGTAAATCACAATTTTTAGCGTTATATGTAAATCACAATTTTTAGCGATGTTTCTGATTTAACACAAGTAATTTTTGAAGTCGTCCAACTCCAAAAGGTTAACAAGTTAGAAGTCTCTTAACAGATAAATATAATTCGGTACTAACAAGATATGAACTCACTCTTTGAATTTTGATTTTGTCGAGTGTGGCTTCGAGTTGGTTCTCCAATTGCATCATTTCAGTTACATTGAGCTTCTTGAAATCTGGTTCTTCAACCTGACTGAAAATGAGTACACGTCAGTCAAGCTTGAGCAATTGTGATACCTGAAAATGACTCTAGTTTAAAAGGCAGAAAATTGCCTTTGAATAGTTTGTAGGAGCTTTCCAAGTGACACCAATATCGTCTGATTGGATTGGTGGTCCTGGTCCTGCAGTGCAAAAAAAACAGCAAAAAGATCTGAGATTGTTCTCTTTTGTTTTTTTCCTTAGTAATGATAAAAATTCTACATTCTCCATGGGCAACCTCCCCAAGACTGAATTGTCAACTACTTAAAAAGCACATGTAACTAGCATTTTTGTTACCTCCTACAAGACAGAGGAAGAAGATTAGAGATCTCGATTCTAAGGATTACTTACACTGGCATTTGTATCAATATCAATAGGACTTTGACTTTGACTTTTGCCTTTAAGGTGGCTTTGATAGCGCTCAATAATGTTCAATAAGCTGCATCACAATTATGGTGGAGCAAAATAGAGTTAGCATGAATAAAATAATGCATGCACTTTAACTATTTTCATTAAAGCATTTGGAAGAACAAATAGTTTAGAGTTGAGAGTGAGGTGCTGTGTAACCAAGAAAATTATTAAAGTCGGATTCAATATTATGTGCACAAATCCCTTAGGTAATATTGAAAGGGCAACTGTTCAAGAATTAAAACAAAGGTTTATTTGGTTGGTTCTTGGAAGCACGGGCACAAGCGCATAAAAAAAACGTACAAGGAATACGATCTAAATACATAGCATGACATGTTGGGACATGTTAGTTTTCTTTATTATACACTATGGTGCAAATTTGGGCATATTTTTCACATATTTAATTGCCTAGAAATAAATCTAATATTTTTTTCTTAAGAAACAATTTCATTGATGGTAAAAAGAAATTACAAAAGTATGGGTGGAATCTAATTCAAGGGGATTAGATAAAACTTCTCTAATTTGATAAAAGAGAAGAGTAGCTATAATGACAAAAAAGGTGACAATTTACACCAAAGTAATAACCAAAAAGACTACAACATTATTCAAAATGATTAAAAAATAATCGATAACCCATATTTTTGATGTGCTGATGTTGGGTGACATAGGTATACCCTTTTCACCTGTGCGACATCATAATGTGACATAGGTATACTCTTTTCAACTGTGCGACATCATAATCTTACCACAGTCATGGCCAACCTTAAGGGAAACTCTAGTCCCAACATTCTTTTTGCGAGTCTTATAACTCTGTCGAACCATTAGTGAAGTTCCTACCTTCTTCTCCAATTGAGATCTCTAGGCTTACATCATGACATTTTTTTGAACATTAAGCCAAATTACCCACACATGAGCATCCTATTGCCAATTTTTGGCTTATCTTAAGCAGGTGTTTGCAACTACGTGCACAACTTGACTTTCCTTTAGCAATGCTCATTGCATGTACATGCATTTCAACTAATCTTGAGTACACACCTAAGAAGCGAACTATATGCCTTTACTTCGTGTCGAGGCTGTCCCACCCAAACATCTATCCATTCCTGCACTATTGTGGCACAATGACTCTGCTGCTCGTGCCAATTCACTTGAGTTACATATTGCATGGTGGTCCGGGGAGAGGCAAAATGCTGGAATACCTATGCCACTCGATACTACCCTTGGGATTCCCATCCTGCAAGGAAGACGCCCCAGACCTTAGTCCTGCAATACTTGCCTATGCCACACACACGCATGTGTCATGTGGTAGCTCGCTTAGCCCTGAGGCCATAGGTGGAAGAGAGCTGACACCACGCCTCCCTCTATGGTATATTTCAAGGCATATTTGGTTTGAGAGGAATGGAGAAAAATTGGTAATTGGTGTGAAGTCATAAGTGGGGAAGAGTCACTTGCCAACATAAAGCTCATGTTTGATCTCTTATTGGTAGGAAATATGACGTGCTTGCACATCTCATTTATATGTATCTGTCCCCAAAGCTGCTCACTGAAAGCCGCAACGCAACTCCGACTTCTAGGATAATGGGCTAGGCCCCTCAACTGGATCCTACTGAGCTTGTTACTGACACCATTGGTGTTGTCATTGCTTTCAATCTTGCTTACATCTTAGCTAGGCTTTTTTAGGCACATGGTGTGTTGAGTGATGCACTACCCTCCTTGGTCACATCATGACACTTCTCTTTCAGCCCTTCACATGGGCGACAAGCGACATGCACTTGTCCCACTGGATCCTACTGAGCTTGTTACTGACATCATTGGTGTTGTCATTGCTTCCAATCTTGCTTACATCTTAGTTAGGCTTGTTTATGCAAATTGTCATGGTGTGCTGAGTGATGCACTATCCTCCTTGGTCACATCATAACACTTCTCTCTCAGTCCTTCACATAGGCGACAAGCAACATGCACTTGTCCTGACACCCTCCCTCACATAAACTATCATCATTCTCAATGACAAACTCATAGATCGATATTACACATGAGATTGTAACTCTCCCCAACTTAAATTTGACATCATCCAGATGACGACCTGAACTTGAGCTAGTTGTCAACTTGGCTAAATGGCACGCAATACATACCCCACTTGGAGCGATGCAGCACCTTCCCCCATTTAGCACAACATATCTTTTGGATGATCTTTTATAAGGTGATGACTATCTGATTTGATGTAGTATAGTTGATTTGATGTAGTATAGTTGGTCAGTATTTAAATGTTAGGACTGTTTTTACAATCTATATTAGTTGTCATAATTCTTTTCATCACTTGAGGAGTTAAAAGTGCTGTAAATGGATGTTGAAAATGGTTCTTGAATCTTACGGAAGACTATTTTTTGGACATTTTCTTAAACTTCTTTATGCGGGAATTTGTTGATCTTCTTGACTGGAGGGGTGTTTGAATTCTTCATCTTTGCAAGTCAAGCCTTTATCTATTCTAATTGGGAAGCTTTTATTACTGCTATGTAATTTTTGTTTTTAACTTTATTTTATACTTGTATTTACTTTATTTTTCTACTTCACTCCTTTGGAGTTTATATGTTTGAACATTTTATGTTCCTTGTCATTCATCAATGAAATGTTCGTTTCTTATTAAAAAAAAATAAGGAAATAAATAAACACCATAAAGACTAATTATTGAATACTAATATTTACACACAAATATAAAACTGAAAGGCATCTCTCTCTCTGCTTCTTTCCTTCCCCAGCTTCTCTCCCCTGATAGCTTCTGGGGCAGCTAGTTTGGAAACGGTGAAAGACGTTATGTTTTTAGCCTTTCTCCGATCAACCTTTCTTCCCCATGAAAACATAATCCGTGCTTATTTCTTTTCCTAAAATTTTATATCCATGGAAAAAATTGGAAAAGATAAACAACAGACGATCCACCACTATAGACAAAAAAAATTCCACTTAAATAGATGACAACTCAAGCAGTAGTAGAGTTCACATCACAAAAACTACAAAGGACAAAGCCCTCTCCATTACCGTGCATGAGAGAACTTTGAGATGGATTGTAGAAAACTTTAACAAACTACTTGAATTCTCTCTAACCCACAAAATTTTCAAGGAAAGAAGGATAGATGACAAAATGGTACGGATTGGATTTAAATGTAGCCAGACTCCCCAAACCGAAGTATTTATTGCGTAAACAACCACCCACCAAGAACTCCACATCCCATAAAACATAATTGTACGTTCTGTCTTTCAACTCCGAAAATGCCATTGTGATGTAGTAGAAAAACTTTCATAATGGCTAGTACAAGATCCTTAGAGCCCTTTCAAAGATTATGATTGGTAGACCCTTTCAGCACAACAAAGCCTTCATGAGATACCAAGACAATGAACAAGCTTTATAGGTGGCAAATGGGGTCCTACCAATTCATTTATAGTCCATGGAAAAAAGAGTTCGGACGTAGTGGTCCCATCCAATGGAGGTTGGATAACCCTTTGATAGGTGGCATATGGAAGTCTTTAAGCTCATTGGGGAAGCTGGTGGAATACTGAAGATGTTTCAAATATAACCATCAATCTAATGGATCCTATGGAGATAAGCATCAAGGTAAAGCCAAACAGTACGGGTTCCTATCGGCTATCATTGATTTCCCATCATCATCTTTCTCAATGGTGATGGTTGACTTGGGTTACATTATGAAGTTCACGGAAACAAACAAAAACTAGGAGCGTGTGACCAAGAACAAAGATGCGTGAAAGGAAAGTCAATATTTTCAAAAGAAAAGCACGTAGAGGTTGGAAGGATATGCTACGAACATCCACTGTACCTTGGAGACCCAAACCTTGCCATTGACTTTTGTGGAAATCTAGTCATCCTTTAGCCTTTCCTTTGTCCGACTTCTCCATGGTAAGTGAGAAAACTCCTTCCCTTTTGTTTGGTCACCCCATACAATGGTGTCATCGTACCACTCCGATACAATTGTGCCAGCCCTTCCCTGCCCTCCCTCTCTTCCCCCAACAACCAACCTGATGCTCTTGGACCTCATGCAACACCTATTCATTTGTCCACTTGACACTTATTCCTTATTGCTTACTCTTTCCCAAAACATTATCACAAATCATTCTGACTACCTGTACCTTCCACTATCCTCATAAAAGTAGACTAACACTATTTCGGAACCCTTATCTCTATGCCTTCCTAACACTTCTTTCCTTCCTAACCCTGTCGCCATAGCCCATTGTTATTACTCTAGAAAAATCTTCCTAAACCAAAGGAGGCCTTCTTGCTTGTTTGAGGTACCATATACTCATCCTTCATCATTGGCCTTCCATCTGAACTTAAAATCGAAGATGACTAAACTAGTCCTTATCAAAGCCTTCTAATCTCGCCCAACACCTCTATCCTTCCCTCCTCTTGCGCCCCACTTCCCCTTCCACCAACCTAAAAACTCAATCCACCCTTACTAATACTTGCATGCGATTTCTCCATGGCTCGAAGATTTTGGGCTTTGTATCATGACTATTCACATAAGAAAAAATAAGGAATCCAAGGGTAAGGAACCTACAGACACCCATTACTTAGCACAAAGATTAGAAGCCTAAGGGTTGAACAACACTCCATGATCATCCTCTCTTAGAATGCTGGAGGCTTGAGCTCGTGGCAGAAGCAAGCTCTCATCATAAATCTAATTGTAAAACATAATACCTCTATTATCATTCTCCAGGAGTATAAAAGAAGCATAGGCTTTTCATCAAATCCATTCCAGAAGTGTGGCATAGTCTTCCATTGATAAATAGAGCTCTTCTGGAGGCATCATCGTTCTTTGGATGATACTTCATTCTCTAGTATTAGATATTATTGGAGGTGTCCATTCTCTCACCCTCGTTTCTCTTATGTTGATGGCTTCGATTTTTGGACCACAGGTGATCATGGACCATTTAAGGTTTCAATAATGGAACAACACACATGTTTCTAAAGAGATAGACTCTCTCATTCGAGCCTCCCTTGCTAATCTTTCTACTTATTTTTTATCT